AAAAAGGGAAATTGAATGGTTGTTGTTGTGTTGGCTAACCTGATCGCCTGCCATGTATTTCTGGCCATCCAGATAGCGCTCCATGATGTCGTATGCCTCGTGGAGTTTGCGTCTATGGTAAGTCACATCCACATTGGCGTACTGCTTGCGCACGATTTCCGACTGGCGGATGGGATAGAGGCAAAAGGGTATTTGTAAATATCATAGCTTACAATTAACGCGGCGGCTAAGCACCATTAAATCACTGTCACGGCGAAAGAGGAAGGAGCACTCAAAGAACAGGCGATTAAGCACCTTCATTCTGTCTGCATATTCCTTGGGCCACCATTTGCCCGCTTCATCAAAATGCTCCGCCAAATGGATGAGTATAACATGACTATCGGTGAGTAGTAGTTCATTATGCACAAGCGTTGGGACGCTATGCTGCGGATTTAACTAGAGGATAGATAATTAGTATTCAGCTCTGCATCCGTTTTGCATACACTCACGGCCAAGAAGTCTTTCTCAAATTGTGCGCCCTTGAATAAGTCAACGAAACGCAGCTCTACATTGATATTCAGCATTTTGATCAGCATCAGACAGCTGCGCACGGGTGGACTACGATCATCGTAATATAGGATCGGTGCAGACATAGTATAAAAAAAAACTGAAGAGCAGATAAACAGAAAAGCAAACGAGTACAAGCAGAACTCACAAACAACTGAAAGACAAGACGATCTCAGCTCCGCTTTAATCTGTGATAAGTTAAGGAGAGACTGACAGAGAGCGTGAGCTAACAAGAGAGCGATCTTTTTGATCTCTTACTTGAAATCGATTAAAATAACTAACTTAATATAAATTTAATAACGTACTTCTATAAATATAACATAATTATGGTTTAAATTTATTTAGCTTCATTAACAATTGCATTTAATCTATTAAAAAATAAAATCATCAGTTTAGATTGTTTGAATTGCATTTAAGCGCGCTGTGTGGAGCAATATTTGTAAGCCACAAGAGTAACGATATGTCTATCGATATACCTCATTAGTCGGACACCTTAATCAGCTGTTGCGCATTATACGATTTTCGCACTTCGGTCACATTGCTCCTACTACTGAGTTAGCGAATAATATTTGTTAATTGAAAATTAATTTTTATAACTAAAAGTGTTGAGCTAGCACATCCCACATTTAACAAATATGTACCTTACGCGCCAGTTAAGACAGCTGCCCCGGTCCAGGCTAACGCGTCACATTGCCAGCGGCAATGGCCCACATTACACAACCGCCGCACCGCAACCGGCTGCAGAGCACATTGAAATTCCAAAGCGCATTGAACGGTCGCCGACAGATCTGCTGCAGGCTTTGGCCAGCACAGTGGGACGTGATCCAACGGCACCGCACTATAAATATCACGACGATCCCTTTCTGATACCCATGTCGAACATCACCAAGCGAACATATGCTCTATCGAAGGAGGCTGGACGCAAGGCAGCAAGTTGGATCAAAGAGGAACATCGCGAGCTCTTTATGGTAAGTGTTTCACTTGAGTAGAATGTAATATTAAGAAATATTTAACCTACCCCATAGCACCAAGAAGCCCAGCCACCCATTGAAAAGTTTGCCCCTTCCATGGTCTACACGGAAGAATCGGAAGTGGATGCGAGCTCACTGCAGTTGCTCATCTCACAAGGTGAGCTGAAGGATGCAGTGCTAGTGTATAATCTATTGGTACAAAAGGGCATTGAGGTCAGTGATGCCTTGAAACAGAGTCTATTAGAGCTGGTATGCTTCTACAACAACGAAGAGCCGTTACCAGAGGAATATATTGAGGAGCGTTGGTTTATGCAGAACAGTCGTCGACGTGAACGACATGGCAAGACGTGGAAGGATGGTGAATTAGCTGAGAAACTTTACGCAGCAATTGAGCCAAAGACGCCACAATCTTATGCAGCACTTATACGTGGCATGGCCAAATATTTGCAGTGTGAGCGTGCATATGCCCTACTCCAGGAAGCCAATGAGAAGCGTATCCAGCTGGACACTAATACATATAATGCCATCATACAGATTGTGAGCTTCATCAAGGATACAGCCGAACAACGCTGGCAGATGTGCACGTCGCTGCTGAGCCAAATGGCCGAACAGCAGCTGAAACCCAATCTAGGTACCTTGAATGCGGTACTGGAGTGCATCAGCACATTTGGAAACTTCAAATTGGCCCGCAGCTCAGCGCTGAAGGTGCTGCCGGAATTCAAGCAACTGGGCATTGTGCCTAGCCTAGGCTCCTATTACTACCTTTTGATTATTTTCTGCCGAGAGCGTGCGCCCGTCTCACACGTCATCATAGACATCCTGAATGATATTGGCGGCAAAGAGTTCAAGGTGGAGCATCCGAAGGACACATACTTCTTTGCCACGGCTATGGATGTGTGCCGCAACCACTTGCATGATAAAGCTCTGGCAAAGAGGGTGGATGAGCTGCTGCACACTGGCAACAACTACGATCTGATAGGTGACTCCTTTAAGGAGGGCATTTATTATCGCAATTACCTAGCGCTGCTCTGCCAGACCGAGTCCATTGAAGACTTCATGCGCACCTACGATATACTGGTGCCCAACATCTACATACCCGAGCCGGGTATTATGGAAGAAATCTTGCGGGCTATCGAAATCAATGGAGCTGTAGAGCACGTGCCTCGCATCTGGTCGGACATGGTCATCTTCGATCATACTCATCGCGAGAGTCTGTTGCTTTACGTCCTACGCATTATGGTCGACAATCGCCCAAATCCGGAGCTGCCCGCCCAGCAACAGCTTCCAGAACAGTGTGCTAACGTAGCATTGGATATGTATAACAAGATTGAGGAGTCGGCTAAGCGAATCAAGAAAGTCTCCTTTACTGGTCAAATGCTGGGCGACATTCTGACCCTTCTTGTTCGTGGCAACAGCAGCTTTGACAAGGCGACCGAGGTGTTTACTTACATAGACAAACAACAGCATCGCATTCCCGGCACACCTGCGGACAGTGCTCTGTTCGAGTATGTCGAGGCGTGCATCCTAAACAAAGCGCCCAGCCAGGCATTGATGGCGCTTCAGTACGCTGTGGAGAGCAACATGGAAACGACTCCGCTGGCAAAGCACATTCACGAGGGTTTCACGCTCAGCGAAGTGCATTTGGCGAAGCTGAAATCCCTAGTCGGCGAAGGATTTCTCACCAAATAAAATACACAGTGAATGTTCATAGTAATTAAATTCGTTTTTATAATTTGCAATAAATATAAAATGTTAAATAAATGCAAGGAATGCATTGTGTAATACTAAAATTCGACGTATTTGTGCTAGATCGTGAGATTACTTAGATATAAGACTAGTATCTGATGCAGATGGAGATTCATTCTTCCTTCGTCAGTGGCAGCCAGTTGACCCCATCGTGCGGCAACTCACTGCGCACAAACGGCGACAGCCAGGTCCAATACATGCGCTTGCCCAGCACCATTTCTATGTTGCCACGCAATCCGAGATTATACGCGTTGCTTGATCGCTCCTTCATTACGGCGCCCCGTTGGAAAATAGGTCGATGGAAAATGAGCAGCAACGTGGACATGGCGAATGCCAAGATATTCAGCTCATAAAGAACAAGGTAAAAATTCTCCCAGCTGGCGTGTACAGTCAGGCTGATAGCAGGCACTAGGATGGTCACTAATGTGTAGGGACGCCAATAATAGTCGGCATGAAGATACCAGAGGTAAATGCTGGCATTAATTACAACGTAGAGCGCTCCTAATCCCATGTAGAATAGAAAGTAGAAGAAATAACGAAAATTGTAATGGCCGATGCAGCAGCAGGTGAAACGGCAATGATGATTCCGCTTGAGCACGCACACATCACAGGTCTCGCAGTGCCACGAACGTGGAGGTACCAGCGCCTGGCATATATCGCACATATGCCAACGTTTGAGCAGATGCGGCTCCAAGGGTGGCTTCAATATATGCACTGAAATGCAAATCATTAGAAATGCTCAAATAACCCAGCACGATGATCGATCAGCTACTTACTCTTGATAGAGGTATCTACCAGCATACAGGCCAACAGATTGGACGTTATATTGAAGACAAAAAATATGCCGGCGAGCCAAATTGTTGTATACCAAAAACTTCCGACGTCGTGCAGCTCTGGCATAATAACTGTCACTTGGAATATATACGTTAGCGGCACACCAACCGCAATAAGAAAAAAACATGCTGCATCCCCAATAGAGCGTGGACAAAAAGCCCTATACAATGATCGTAATATCATCTTTACGCCAATACACTAATCTAATTTTTTAGGACTTTTAAAATTTGTTTGACATGCAAGTGGTGTACTTTTGACAATATGTAAATATCGAACTTCAGCTAATCGATAGTATTATAGTATTTTACTGTATATCGATTATCGTCACAAGTGAAAACGATAAAACGACAAAACTGTGATTTATTGTAGAAAAATAATTCTAAATTGTATACTAATTGAATTTTTAAACTAACACAATGATCGAGCTGTACTTATTTTCTGCAGTGATGTTTTTTAAATATACATTATTTATTTTGAAGAGCTGTAAGCCCACTATGGCAACGCTCTTTAATGTTTACATTATCTGAAAAAATCTACACGCACTGGGACGGAAGTACTTCATTGTCTGCGAACCTGTTACATATATGTGATTTTTTTTTTTTTCTAAAGTTATGGACAACAACAGTTGTCAGGTGTTTGCCCTGCCCCAATAACTTAATTCCCTATTGGTTGTTTTAAACACATGGCTGAGAGATCTGCAGCAACTTGTTGCTATGCTACTTTAATGCCTCTATTCTTAGTTATTTAATGCACAACGATTTTCATTAAGTTAAGTGTGGCGGCACCCTACCTCAATTAGTTCGAAACATCTTTGGTTACAGCTCGTGAATCACCGTGACTGAGTCACTTATTTTCTGAAAGTGCTCATCTCTATTAAGAGCTATTAGCGCGAGCGTACGCAAGTGAGAAGAAGAATAAGAAACAGAGGAGAGAGTGCGAAAATACGCTGTGTCGCTAATCAAAATCATTGAAACCATAAAACATTCCAAATGCTACGGTAGAAAATATCGTATCAGTCGTTCTCATTGCATTGCGCACTGAACACCTATAAACCCAGCGTACACGGCCCAAACACAATGACTCGACAAGGTGCGCAGCTGGCAGGTTTAACAATATTTTTATGTTGTATTCTGGAATTGACCACTGCTGGCGTCCCACTCAACCGATACGAGGCGGTATTAAAACAACAATCTGCGCCGGTGGACGAGGAGCTTGGCCTGTACGATGACAACGATAAGGTGGTTAAGCTAACTGTGGCCAATTTCAATGAAACTGTGCTCGAACAGAATCGCGGCTCGCTCGTCGAATTCTACAATACATATTGTGGGCATTGTCGACGATTTGCGCCCACCTACAAACAGATTGCCGAACAGCTGAACGCCTGGCAGGAAGTTGTCATCGTCAGTGCCATCGATTGTGCTGCCGAGGAGAATAATGGCATTTGCCGCCTTTACGAGATAATGGGCTATCCAACACTGCGTTATATGCGCCCAGGCTTTCAGCCCAGTGCCAACAATTATGGCTTGAAGCTGGAGTCCCAGAACCCCGAAGAGATACGCAGCATGCTCGCCGCCATGGTGGCTGCCGAAAATCAGACCGTGAACAACACATATTGGCCAAATTTTACGCCTGTGACGGAAAATGAGAGTGCATCAGATCTTTTCGAGGGCCTCAACAGCCAACGACAATATATAGCGCTCATCTATGAGCCAGAGAATTCAACGCTGGCTGCCGAAACGGCACTATTCCTGCTCAAGTGGCCCTCCGTGCAGGTGCGCCGCTTCAGCGATCCAGCCGTTGCGTCCAAATTTAAGCTGGACATCAATAAGCAGCAGCTGGCACTTGTGGATCGACAGGGAAATGTGAAGCTCCACACGCCGTCGACTCAGAGCAGCGACGCCTATGCCAAATCCATAGAAGAAGCGCTCTATGCTCTGAGTCTTACGCCCAGACCACCGCAGTCATTGAAACAGGTGCAGCCTGAGTCCCTGCAGCCAAGCAGCGATAGCCCAAATAATTCGCTCCAGCAAATCATCAGTGAAGTGCAGCGCAATAAACATATCATTTACCAAGCCGATCTGGAGCAGGCCATACGCACCATCCTGCACAACGAGGTGTCCAAAGTGAACGATATCAGTGGAGATCGTCTGCTGGCTCTGCAGCGATTCCTCGTCGTGCTGCAACGGTATAATCCTCTGGGTACCAATGGACGCCAACTAGTGGCCAAGCTGAAGGATTTCGTTTTGCAATTCAATCAAAAGCTGACGGGCAAGGAGTTCGAGGATGAGATGCGACGTCTGGAAACAAAACTGGGCCAGGTGTACTCAAGCACACAGTACGTGGGCTGTGCGGGCTCCAGTCCGCAATTCCGTGGCTTCAGCTGCTCGTTGTGGACGCTCTTCCATTTTATGAGCGTGCAGGCAGCGGGCAACGAGGAGTCGCAGGATCCACTCGAAGTCCTCCAGGCCATGCATGGCTATATCAAGAACTTTTTCGGCTGCACCGATTGCAGCGAACACTTCCAGGTGAGTCAGCCTCTCACACACACACTTGCACACACACACATACAATTTAGATTTGCTTGGCCTACGTGTATTATTATAGTACGCGCTTTCACTATGAGATCAGCGCTGACCTCCGAGCTGCTGAGGGCGCCGCAATAGAGCTTATAGGAGTACTTGCCTAGTCATATATCATATATGTATAAATATATGTTACTTATATAAATTACTTTATAAGTAATTCGTTCACGTTGAATTGTTGTTAAACAAGAACTTCTGGCACAGCCTTTACACATCACAGAATAGTTGTTTTTTTTTTTTTTTTTGCTTGACTAACAGCAATTGTTCCGGACTGAAGTATTTCAGATAAGAGAGAAGAGACTAAATAGACAGGTTTAATTTTGTTGTTTTTTGCTCTATATACATACATTTATATTATTTCATATTATGAACAGGACACGGATTGATATGAAATTCTAAACAAAATATGTATACATACGTTTACCCATACACATTTGTATATATCCATATATTCTTCTCTCTTATCAGACAATATAGAGTTCATACATATCTACTTAATGCCTAGCTATTTCCATTTTAGTCTGAAAATGTTTCCACCTGAAAAAAGTAATTTAGTTTTAAAATGCATATGGGCTGATATGTAAGTATGGAAGTGCTTAGTGTTTTACGAACTTCATAAATATTCGTTAGTGAAGATAAGAAACTCTTAATGAGAATGTCGCAACTCATATGCCCGTATTGATAGATTACACTCTTGTACTAAACCTTATTAAAGACAATTAAGGAAAAGCGCATTTAACTATATTATATATCCATGCACACTAATGAACAGCACGTATTACTCACTACACTAACCTATATATCAAATTAACAGTTACTCAATAGACTCTAACTCACGATAATTGTATTAGCATATTGAAGGTAAGCTTAATTAAATGAGGAAATGGAGAATGAAAACAATAGCTGAAATGAAAACAAATTTCTATCAGAGAATAAAATCAAATATTTAAATTTATATATTTTTCCATTATTGAGTTATAATTTGCAAGCGGTTGCAATTAAGAAACTCCGAGAATTTGAGCAATAAAAAATCTGGGAGCTTCGGATGATAGATACCTACACTTGTCCAGTCTTGTCTTGATAACCTACATAGCTGTCTAGTTCTTGCTAAATTTTTATGCTGATTAGCCATATACATTAGCCAAATACATTTCAGTCTGGATTTATTAACTTGAATATTACGCAATTGTTAATTATCCAGTGTTTGTTTTTTTTTTCATATTAACCCAAGCGACCCACATTGTTGACTTAGCAGCAGCTGTTTGTATTGACACAAGTGCATTTAACGAGTTATCCAATTATTTTGTTTCAGGCAATGGCAACACGTCGTAAAATCTGGAACGTTGCATCAAAAGACGAAGCCGTGCTCTGGCTGTGGGCAGCGCATAATGAGGTTAATCAACGTCTGGCCGGCGACGCCACCGAAGATCCGCAATTCCCAAAGCAACAATTTCCCAGTGCCAACAGCTGTGCCCAGTGCCGCAATGCGCCAGCAACCGGTTCGCAAGATAATCTGTCAATTGACTGGAACAAGGATGCGGTCCTCAGTTTCCTGAAGAACATTCACAATCCGCAGTTTGTCAGTCGCTTTGGTGTCCAGCGGGCGGAGCTGCTGCACGAGACGCTGGACACGATGCGCCAGAAGCGACAGATCTCAAACGTCTTCTCCGACATGGATATGCGCATGGGCATGTTTCTATATGCCTTCTGCATTGTGATGATGGTGGTGGCCTTTAAGCTGTTCGCCTTCAAAGGCGGCTACCGCAAGAAGCCGTACGGACACGATCTACTGGGCAAAGTGTAATCAGATTCACGTCTTTCTAGAACAACAAACCACGCCGTGGCTTAGCTTCAATTCTAAAAAAAGACAACACAACTAAACATAACTAAATCTAATAACGAACACCTCTGAATGTTCGTTTGTATGTAACTCACAAATAAGCTTAAGTTGAATGTGTGTATGTATATATCAATAATCTTCCAGTTGTATATCCTTTAACATAACGAACGAAAACAAATCGCTTTTATAAAATTACGTATCAAATATAAACCTGTTTGCCTTTCTATATGTACGTATGTGTATGAAATGACAAACAGTGTTGCCGAATCAGCTATTTTGTAGCTAGATCTGGCTACTTCTTGAGTCCGATTGCTACACAAATTTTCAAGCAGCTATTAGCTACAAATCTGGCTATTTTCAAATATATATATATAATAGGTAAGCTTTCTGAAATGTTATGCAAAATTCATTTCTTATCAGTTTTTATACCCTGAACCCATTGAAAATGGGAAATCAGGGTATAATGGTTTTGTGAAAAAATATGTAACGGGCAGAAGGAATCATCGTAGCTGAAATTTGGCATGCATCATATTTTTTCGATAACTCATCCGATAACTTTTTTATCTAGAATTATCGAAAATTTGATTTTATTATTTATGCTATGAGTATAGCGTTCCACCCAACTACCTTAAAAAGGCAAATTATAAAAGCGACAATGGTGAAAATGACGAGTTGGTGGTCATAGATGAGATATTATAATAATTAAATTAATAAAGTTGACTTTTTATAAAAAAAAAAACGGCACTGTTTTCTTTTTTGCTACTTTTTCAGCTATTTTAGAAGAAAGTTAAAAAAAAAAAGCTACTTTCAGCCTTCGRTTTTGCTACTTTTGCTGAAAAAGTTTCGGCAAAAAAAAAAAAAAAATGTACGTACGATATTTTATCTGGAATTCAAATGGGAAGCTCTCCGGTAAAAAAAAAAAAATGTACAACATATGTCTTGGGTCTTGTCATCTGACTTGTATATTGTATAAAAAAAAAAAACACATATGAGATAAGGTCTCTTCAATGTCCCATAGAAGTTCATATTCAATAAAAAAAAAAATACAGTAGCGACAGCATTGATAAAGATTTTGTTGTTCTGAAAACTGATATAAAAAAAAAAAAGCTGACTTATGGACCAAGATTATATCATAGAATATGTAAATATATATTATTTATAGTTAGAAAATACGAAGACATTCTGCTAAGGCAATGCTAAACTAATCCTTATTAATAAAAAAAAAAAACGAGGACCCTTGATCAAATTCATTTGCATCACGGAAATATGTACATACAAAAAAAAAAAAAGTATATTTCGAATTTTATTTAAGAAACCTTTTGAAATCTGGATGCCACCAAAAAAAAAAATTGTACTTTTCGATTCGTGAATATTTAACAGTGACACTCAGACTATTGCTACTGCTATTGTCCTCTATAAAGTCCAACTCCAAGTTCTTGGCACGCATATCCGTGCAGAGCATCTCGCGTGTAGCCTTCAGCCGAAAGAGCGACTGTTGCTGATTGTAAAGCAATTGTAGCGGCAGTGGCACAAATTGTCGGCACAGCACAATCAGTAGAACAACACCTTCATGGCGATAGGAGGAGTCAGTTGGGCTTGCAGATAGCTCAGCATCCTCAGCCAACGCTTCCCAATCGTTGACCACTTCGTTGTCCGCCTGTGCCGATCCACCTCCATCTTCAACTAATCCTCTGGGCGCTGTTGCCTGTTGGTTTCGCAGTGCATAGCATATGACCCACAGGCATTGATACTGCTTTTGCGAGCAGGACATAAAGGTGCGATGCAGCAGCCAGTCCAGGCTGTAGCCCAACTCCAGACGCGCTTTCAGTGGACTATAACAATGGTAAAGTGCTTCAATTACTTTAGCACGCAGCGTTTTCGTATCACAGTTACGTATTTGCTCCAGCTGCAATTGGGCAGGCAGCTCCAAGTTCCAGCCCTTGGCTGTGCTGCCCAAGCAATAGCGTTTGTACATATTACGCCAGAAGACTCGAGAGCTCACCAGCTTGGCAGTCTGCTTGCAGAGCAAAGCAAAAGTCTGCACATCTTCTGGATCCAAGTGCATGGCTATTTGAAACCAAGCATCGTGTCCAATATCAAGTGTGAAACTATTGGCGTTCTCAGCCATGGCAGGAATTGTTGTCCTCGCATACGCATTGGATTTCTGCTTCAGCTCGACGTATACATCCGATTGGCATGCATAGATTGCTGCGTTTTTAAAGATTTAACTTTTAATAGGTAAATATAATTTAGAATAAATATTACATACCACATTTGCCACGGCTACGATATAATTTTTGGTGAATGTACTGTTCGCTTTCATCATCTAAAGTCATAATTTAAAATTTCTGTTTGCATTCCGAGCAAACCACTTATTAAGGGTAGCCCGTTGATAAAATTTAAGAATATATATATTGTATTAATAGATACTATAAATAAGAATTGTGATTTTTTTAATTAAAATTAACTAATATTTTAAATTTTCATATTATAATTTTATGTAAATGTAATGGAAATAATTATTAGTTTCATACACAGCAAGTTGCAGGTGTAACCCTTTTTATTATTAAATTTGTGCTGTGACATTAATCAACACTGAATTTTGTTATCGATAATAGCCGTGCTACTGCCATTGCACGTTGTTTATAAACATTACAGATTTCATTAAAAATGCCTATAGATTGCAAGGCCAAATGTGGCAACAGGGCCAGTTTAAAGGTAAGTGATGCAGTGCTATAATAATATTTAATATTTTAATCGATATTTTCCAAGCGGCCTAAAACCGGCGATGCTTTGTGCAAGGACTGCTTTTTTGCGGCATTTGAGGCTGAGATCCATCACACAATTACTACCAGCAAGCTTTTTAGGCGCGGCGAGAAGGTTGCAGTGGCCGCCAGCGGTGGCAAAGACTCAACAGTGCTAGCGCATGTGTAAGTCTTAAGCTTAGGTTACCTTATAGTTTTTCTAAACTCTTCAATTTCAGTTTAAAATTGCTCAACGAGCGCCATAATTATGGGCTAGATTTGGTGCTGCTCTCCATTGATGAAGGCATCACAGGCTATCGAGACGACAGTCTGGAAACGGTTAAACAAAATCGTGATGACTATCAAATGCCACTGAAAATTCTCTCCTATGAAGAGCTTTACGGCTGGACTATGGATCGAATTGTGGCGCAAATAGGTCGCTCCAACAATTGTACATTTTGTGGAGTTTTTCGTCGCCAGGCCTTGGATAGAGGAGCAAAGCTATTGGGTGTGGACAGCATTGCCACTGGCCATAATGCCGATGACATTGCAGAGACTGTGCTAATGAATATTCTGCGAGGTGACACGGCTCGATTGCGTCGTTGCACGGATATTCGCACGGGCGGTGGTGAGGACTCCATACCCCGAGTGAAGCCACTCAAATACAGTTACGAAAAGGAGATCGTCATGTATGCGCACTATAAAAAATTGGTGTACTTTTCCACCGAGTGCGTTTTTGCGCCAAACGCATACCGAGGACACGCACGAGCTTTTCTCAAGGATCTGGAAAAGGTACGGCCCTCTGTTATAATGGACATTATTTACTCGGGCGAACAACTGCGGTTCAAGGATACCGTGAAGAAGCCCGTCCGCGGCAATTGCGAACGCTGTGGCTTTGTCTCCTCGCAGCAGCCATGCAAGGCATGTGTGCTCCTAGAAGGACTTAACCGAGGGCTACCCAAACTGGGTATAGGCAAGAAATCAAAGGGCGATCGAATGATTGCTAAACAGAACCAGGAACTAGCTTTAAGAGAACGTGCTAATCTAGTAAAAAACGATTTTTAATTTCAACTGTTGTTTCTTTATTGAATGTATTTACTTTTACAGCGTATTGCCACGGACAAGCTTTTTCAACACTTCCAGCACCTGAAAGAGAAGATGAAGTATAAGTATTTGCTCATAATGCACAGAGAGGAGTTATTTATTATAAGAGCTCAGTGCCAAATTATTAACCATGGTACATAACCGGTTAAGCAAGACTCCCTTACATCAAAAGAATATTGAAGAAGTTTGTCAGCGCTTAACGTTTATATGCTGTCAGTGAATGAATTAAGTGTTCATCATTGCAAATGGAATCCGATAAGAGCACTCGGTCAAGCAATACTAACCTAAATTAGGTATTCTGCTCCAGGTTGATGTATGGCAGACAGCCTACATGAGGTTTACAAAGACCCGTTACATGATTCCATAACCTACAAATAAAATACTTGGTTAAAAAGTGCTTTAAACAAGATACAATATAATTTTAAGGACAACTTCAGTTGTTAAAACAGTTGAAATCACAGTGATTCATTCGAGGTGTCAGAAAATAATTTACTCATCAGAGAAACTTTAAAGATTTTATCCAAAAAATATAATATCTCACCTTAGTCCTTTCAGTTGCATTTTAGCTACGAATACACTGATAATGTCCCATTTTTTCTGTAAATAGAGAAAATATATATAAGCAAATTTGGAATGTATTTATAAAGTTGTGTATTTCATTAAAAAGATGTCGGCTTCACGAAAAATATGCACCGCAAATTCTGTATATAATCAATTTGGGTTATGCTTGGGCGAAGCGCATTTGCTCTGCGAACAGAAAAAAGCACTAGCTAAAGTGGAGATTGTCTTTACACCAGCGACTCAAGTTCGCATGCTAGAAAACTACATACAGAAACTTTATTCTTACCAATTTCAAATATGTATGTATTTTAGAGCCTGCCTTAGACGGCGATTGCAGTAACAGTTTACCTATAAAACAGAAAGACGTTTCATTAAAAATGAAATCCTAACATAATGAAAAAAACATAAATTGTACAGCCGTAGGAACGTAGACCCAAGCCACGTGACTACAATTTTATTTATAGCTGACTTTGGGTAATTTTCCTGTACTCAAATTTGCTTTTGCAGCTTTGAGTTCTGTAAAAAGGCTTGTTACACACTTATCACAGTTATAATTGCTGCAATATTAATTTTCGTCGCTGCAATTTACTTACATTTTAAAACTTCAACTGAGACAGTGTAACACGTTCTCCGAACAGAATAAAAGTGACGGATGATGGCAAAGTTGGCTGCACCACTCAGAAACAGAGTTGCATATTTCCTCAATGAATTGAGTCGACCAATACATTTCGATTAGTTTTTAATGTTACCCTGACTCACACATGCATTTCTGACAATTTATAACTGTTCTTCTCTCAAATTTCGTCTTGGTGTGCGGTTCTCAGATTTTAAGAAATTTTATTTCTTTTTTTTTTGTGCAGTTCATTTACGATAATAACTCAGAATGACTTCGTTCAGCTCGCCAGATATTTTGATGCCACTCGGTAATATAGAAATAGAAAACCACAAATATAAAAAATAATTTTGAAAATTATATATTATTCTGAAATAAAAAATTTTTTCTAGACGACTATTACGAGCAGTGTGTTATACCTAAACCGAATATTCCCAAACATTATGGATTCCATGTAGAAAAGAGACAACGACAAGCGGCTCGTTTGCAATCTTATAAGGAAAACCCGGATGGTGATGAAGACGAGCTTGAAGATGAGGAGGAAGAACAGATGGAAGAGCTAAATTCTTCCATAGAGGATTCCAATAGGAATCAAATTTCGTTTGAAACTAATGACTTCAATAAGATTTATGAAGAAGCTGAATCGCAAAATTCCACAAATGATGCAGCTATAGAGCCAAAAACGGAAATTCCGGCTTCTTCGGCACAGTGGCGCATAACACCAATTAATGTGAATCGTCCCCAAGGAGCTGCACCTTTGGTTCCGATGGATGCTCCGCGTGATAACCCAAAAACTTTAGGCTACCGCTATCATAATAGAAAGCATATGAAACGTCGCAATTATCGCTTCAACAGTAACAATAACAACAGTCAGCAAAATAACAACACGAATACATTTAACCGTAATAATTCTGTACACAACCGTCTAGGCTACATTCCGAACCGTAATCAACAGCGTGGTAAAAAATGGATTCATGGATTCAAAAACAAGCCAGAAAATAACCGCAACAACAATAATAATAAAAATTACAATAACAATAACAATACCAAAAATAATAATACCAACAATAATAATCAGCAAGAGCAGAAGGTATTAATGAATATCGATGGCCATTTTCCAAATACTCGCTCGCAGCTTATTGTGAGCTCCTCATTAAATTCGAATCCATTTGCTAGCTCAGGCAATAATCTGAACAACAATTGTTTTCAATCTTATCAACAACAAGCCAACGCCAATTGGCAATTGGGCTCCAATTCGCTAACTGCACTTATAAACTCAGCTAATCAAATTCGTCCTTCCGTTGACCAAGCATCGGGAATGCAAAATATTAATAATAATAATATGGCCAATAATAAAAATAATATTCTAATGAATAATAACTATTTGCCTATTAATAATAACAATATGAATAATAATAATATAAATAATATGGCCAATATTAATAATA